GGTAACATCAGCACCGCCCCAACCCGATCACCACCTTTTTGAAGAGCTTTCCAATCCGCTGGGTGAGCTGGTGCACATGGCACTGGATTTGGCTTCTGATCCTGGCTCTGCCCTTCAGTGGCTAACACTATGACTCTCTGAGCCTTGGGTGTCTCCTTTGTCAACACCAGGGGCCCCCCAAGGTCCCTTTCCATCTAAGATTGTGCAGACTCAGATCTCCACTCCCACTGTCTGGTGAGTACAGGGAGGACCCTCCTTGTCACCCTGTTCTCCACGATGGCTTGGCTGTGCTTTCCGAAGAGGAGCTCCAAGGAGGCCTGGATAAATGATTTCATGCCCATTGTGGGCAGGTACTCGTAGTTCAGGGAGGGGTCCTGTGCAACAAGCAGTCGGGTCTTGCACACCACGAGCGACACCCAGGGCTGGCCTTCGCTGGTCATGCAGACTGCGGGGGAAAGCGCAGAGGGAGCTCCGGGGGCCAGCCTGGGCCCAGCCGGCCCCGCGCCCAGCCCAGCCTGCAAACGCGTCTCTGGCTTCCTTGGGGCTTTGGAAAGTGGCCTATGAAAAGATAACTTTCCTTTTCTATTTTTTTTTTCCTTTATAAAAACAATGCACTCTTAGTGAATATGTATAATTTCTGTCTTTTCTGTAAAAACAACTGAAACCTATGCCATTGTAATGGTTAAAAATCATATACAAAGTGGGAGTCACAGGTACCGGAGGCACAACAAAGGTCACCCTGGCTTTTACGGGGCAGCAAGGGCTGGTTGCACACCAGAAGAGTCACTCTTGCTTTAGGGTCAGGACAGAGAAGGAGGAGGGGGACGGGAGGGGACCTGAAGACCGTGCACGGCCCAGGCACACCCCAAGGCATGGAGCAGTGGAAACTCCGGAGACTGGCAGAGAGCACGGAGTGACCTGCGACCTTCTCTGCTCTTTTCCTGTCGTCTACAATGGTGGAGCATTGTCCTCCTAGAGTCAGTTACCGTGTGTTAAGCCTCCTACTCCCACACTGCCAGGCATCTACCTCTGTAGGCCAGGAACGCCTTGTTAGGGAAGTTGTCTCTTTTGTAGGTCTTCAACAAGCTGCCTTCTAGCTTGCGGGCTAGGGGCACGTCCACGAACACGGAGAGGGTGGGCATAACGGAGAGGAAAGTGGAGCTGAGACTGTGTCTCTGCTGTCGAGTTCTTCCCGGCTTCTGCCCGGAAGTCTTCCTCCAAGCCTGGGCCACACAGCCCTGCTTCTTCCCAGAACCTTGGCAGCTCCAATGCAGAGACTCTGGATGACTGGTTGCCAGGGCAACAGAGCCTCATAACTCCCAGTGTCTGTGGTGGCGACCCTCAAGGGCCACAGGAACATTCCACGGCACTTAAGGAGAATCCCCCGAGAGAGTGGGCAGGGAAGGGGAGGGGTAAGACGCGGAATTCCCAGGCACTTTCCCCTAACTCTCTGCCTTTTCTTGTCTAGCCCTAAGTCACCCGATCCAAACAGCAAGCCAGCCACTTAGAAGATAGGGCAAGGGGCCAGCCCCGTGGCGCACTCGGGAGAGTGCAGTGCTGGGAGTGCAGCGACGCTCCCGCGGCGGGTTCGGATCCTATATAGGAATGGCCGGTGCGCTCACTGGCTGAGCACGGTGCGGGCGACACCACACCAAGGGTTGCGATCCCCTTACTGGTCACGGAAAAGACAAAAACAAAAACAAACAAAAAAACCAAAAAAAACAACAACAACAAAAAAGAAGATAGGGCAAGGCAGGCAGCCCCTGGGCCAGGCAGCGTTGCCCATGCAGAAGTGAAGACCCCAGCTCATGCAGCAATGCAAGCCGAGGGATTAATTTAAAAAGCTTCTGCTTTCATTTTTCAAAGGGCTCCAGATTTGAAAAGCAATAGAAAGAAAGCACTGTTTTCTTCCATAGTTATTTTGATAAGGATTCTTGTGTTTAGAAACTATGATTTGTGATTTAATAAGTCAGTCCCATGTGTTTGTTAACAGTTTCAATGACGGCCGACCAGCAAGTACAGACAGCAGAGACCAAGGGGCAAAGAGTCTGCCTCTGTAGGGTCAGGCTTGCATTGTGATTTCCTTTTCTTTTTATTTATTTATTTTTTTAAAGATGACCAGTAAAGGGATCTTAACCCTTGACTTGGTGTTATCAGCACCACACTCTCCCAAGTGAGCCACACGCCGGCCCTCTTTTCTTTTTATTTTTAAATAACTTTTTAAATGATTGTTGTAGACACTGTTGCTGTCTCACCCAGAGGGTCTTTGGTGCCAGGCAGACCTGACTTTCCGCCACAGTTCTTTCTGTTACATGGCCTTAGGCAAGTCATTTAAAATCTCTTCACCTTGGTGGATGCATTTTTAAGTGGGGATAACAAACATTTTAGAACTGTATGAGGTTTATGGAAATGAGCATGTCCCTCAGGCTGTTCCAAAGAGACAATAACCACAACATTGTAATGTAAATTCAAGTTTCACTATAGAGCTTATAGTATAGAATACTTGGGAGGGCCTCTGAAATAAAACTCATGTTCAAACTAAGTCTTTAAATCCCCCCCCCCCCCAAATTGCAAGCTCATAAACAATCCTCTGGTTCTGGTAACCATACTCACAGAAGTTGGCTGCTAAAGAGAGATAGACTCTATAGGGCAACCTTCCCCATGGAGGACAAATGATAAAGCAAATTCCCACAGGCAGCGTGCGGGAGAAGCTCCCTTTATTAACTGATGCAAAGAGCTCCCCTTATGGCTATGAGCATGGATTGAACGACGGCTGCCTCCTAGTCCATGACCTTCTAGATCGGGCACCTGCTCCGGACTGGTGACAGCTGTGTGTCGCTTGCCTTTCCCGCTTCTCTATCCGGGGGCCGTTAGAGCAGTTTTCCTCCCAGTACCGGGCGCTGGGTTACCGGGAGTGGTTCAACTCGTTTGCCGCCCCCAGCTGCAGTATTATGGACAGCCACTTTCCCATGAAGAGAAACGCACCTCACCAGAGACCTACACTCTGGGCTGGATATCTGATGTGACTTTGGGTCGTTCCCTTTGGGGACCAGAGAGGGAGTTCTTAGTTGCATGTGGAACTTATGGGCCATGCTCAGAATTCCAAGTATGGGGAAAAGAATATGGGCTGGTGAGCAGCCAAAGGGCGGAAGGTGTGGGTTTTCACTAAGTCCACCCAGAAATACTTTTCCTACTCCTTTTGATAACAAACTCTCCCCCACCCTAACCTGGGTTTCCAACCCCTGAGTCACAGAATGTCTTGGTCCACTACTGCTCCTATAACAAATCACCTCAGGCTGGGTAATTTATAAACAACAGAAATGTGTTGCTCACCGTTCTGGAGGCTGGGAAGCCCAAGATCAAGGCTCCAGCAGATCTGGCGCCTGGTGAAGGCTGCTCTGTCCTTCCGAGATGGCACCTTCCTGCTGTGTCCTCACATGGCAGGAGAGGCGAGGGGCCCCTGTAACCTCTTCTACAAGGGCTCTAATCCCACTCATGAGGGTGGAGGCTGCATGACAATCACTTCCCAAAGGCCACACCTCTTCTACTGTCACATTGGAAACTAAGTTCCCACATGTGAATTCTGAGGGACACTGACATTCAGACCATAGCACGTGCTTGCTCTGAGAGGAGACATGTGGCTCAAGCCTGGCCTACTGGAGTCCTTTCCTAGGATTTCCCGTGGGAGCTGGCAGAGGGGACACAGCTTTCACTAGTCTCTAGTCATGGAGTTACAAGAAAGCAATCCTAAAGCTTCCAGAAGCCATGTGCCCTGACTTGTCAGAACCCTCCCCACCCCCAAACTGAGGCCAACAGTCTGTGGAGAGCAGCTGGGAAGACTTCAGCCGGCTCAAGCCTGATTCCTGTCAGCGGCAGTTTGAGCTCCTGGTTGCAAACAGCAGAAACCGACTCTGGCTGACTTAAGCAGGGGCGGAATTTGCTGGAAGGATATCCGGGAGCTCATGAACGACCGGGAGGATGGAGATTCGGGAGCAGAGCACGACCGCGATCGAACCGCAGAGGGAAGGCGGTGAGGGTTCCACTGAACACGGCCTCGCCACCGCTGCCACTTCAGGTCCCCGAGGTGGGACCGTGACGTCCTTACCTCCTAACTCCGCGGGCTCCGGCGCTCAGAGCCTCCTTGTGGGCCCCCACGTGCTTCCTGAGGGTGCAGGAGCAGGCGTCTGGTCTCTCCAGCCTCAGTCGTGAGAGGTGGGCTCGAGCTCCCCCAAGACTCGGAGGACGGAGAATTCCCCAAACTTTAGAAGGGGGTTCACAGATCAGGCAGCCAGGAAAGACAGCATTTCACACTCTTGTGCCATCTTTCCTTCTCTCCTCAGATAACTAACCCTCACTCCCACTTCCCAATCGTTGATCTTATTTCACTGAGACAGTAAAAGCCCCGGGAAGGGGCTGCCGGACGCTTCCGTCCCAGCGGCCAGTCTGCTTGCACAGGCCCACCCACCGCCTCCCTCTCAGGACAGTGCACGAGCGTCCTGTGCCCATCTCAGTCCGAGCCCTGGAGCCCGCTGACCACGTTCCGCCTGCGACTGTGCTCTGTCATCGGCTGCCTGTCTCCACTAGAACATTCTCTTGAGCGTGCAAACAGATGGCAAGATGCCCATGCTAAAAACAAACAACACCCCCCTGCAGCTATTACCCCCTGTATCTGTTGGCCAGGGTTCAACCAAGGAAACAGGAGCACTGTGAGCGCTGTGGGTATTTTAGGAACCAGGCCTTACATAATCAGGGGAGGAGCTGGGCAGTGAAGATCCGGGGCGAGAGCTGCAGAACCAGAGAAAAACCACTCACCAGGCTGCCTAAAGCGCCCACACGGGGGGCGGGTCAGAGCTCACAGGGAGATCTGGGCAGCCAGACACATCCATCTGCAGAAACAGAACAGGGAGGGCAGCACACGAAGAGGTGTGTGGGACCATGTGGCTCCTGCGTAGCTCTTGCCTCTGTGGGTCTGCAGCCAAGTGTCTGTGGTGGGCAAGTCCTCCGATGGTCATCAGGGCCCTTGATCTGGAGGCAGAGTGGGGCGTGGAGTGGAGGAGAGTCTGAGGGCGGGCTGGAGCCCACCCACCATTTCTGCTTCTGTGTTGCAGCCTGAAGCCCTCCAGACATGAGTGGATGCTGCTTGGGGTACGTTCCTCTTTGGTCCAGCTCTACCTGGAATCTAACAAGGATTTTGGGAAACAGAGTTCCTGGATGAGCCGAGGAAAGACAGGGTGGTCAGCCACGCCACCCTCTCTGCGCCTCTGAGGGCAGCGGCCACGGCGAGCACTGTCTGCCCCCCGCACGTCTCCAGCCCCACTTCCCGCCGCGCCGGCAACACCACGTGCTCGGAGCCGGTCTTGAGCTGCCCAGCCCAGCGGCGCGTTCCCAGTCCTCCTCTCCTCTGATGTTTCAGGGGCACAGGACACAGCTGACCACGTCCTCCCTCAAGCCCCCTCTTCCCGTGCACCCAGGATGCTGCTTTCTTCTGGTTCTCCTGTCCCCTCACCGCTGCTGCTTCTCATGTGGCTTTGCTGGTTCCTTCTGTTCCTGACCCCTGAAATGTGGGAGTGTTCCAGGGCTCAGCTCTGCGAGCTCCCCTCTTCTCTGTCTGTGGTCACCATGCGGGGGATCTTATCCACTTCCATGACTTAAATACCCATCTCTCAAATGTATATACCCAGCCCCGACTTCTCTCCTGACCTACAGACTTGGAAATCCAATGCCTGTTTCATTGTCCAATAAATAATTGATAGACTTTCAAATGTGCTATGTCCAAAAGCTAAGTCATAGTTCATGTCCCCGCCACCCCACCAATGCCACTCTTACCACATCTCGCCCCATTTAAATGGCAAGTGCATCCTGCCACGTGCGTCAGCTGCAACTCGCGGGTTCACCCCTGACTCCTCTCTTTCCCTCTCGTACCCTCTGTCCACGTCAGCAGCAAACCCTGTCAGTTTTCTCTTGTAACATATTCAGAGTCTGTTCACTCAACGAAAACTGAGTGCTGGAACGGATGGACGAGCAGGGGGCATATGTGTGTTTGGTTGGGCGATAGAGGGCACAGTGCGTGAAGGTACAGAAATTTAAAAAAAAAAAAAAAGCCACGAGAAGTTCTTTAGCGAATTTAAGTGTGGCTAGAATG